GCCTTTGAGAACTTTGGTTCTTGGGGATGATTGGAGGTACTGTTATTGGACAGTTAAATGTAAACTTTGAGGGTAAAAGGTTTTAAATGTTTGACTCAGTTTATAAAAAGAACAACGATGAAAAGACTAAATGTATTAAAGCTAGTTGGAGGATCTCCTCTCTTGGGTTTTTAGATAGTAGTGGGTATTTTACTTTCTCCTGTATGTGTAGTTTCCCCTTTCCAGTTTTTTTGTAGTGATAAAAAATCAATTAAAAAAAAAACCCCTCCGGGAGCTCAAAAAAGAAGAAGATAAGAATAGGAGCAAGTTCATTTTCAAAGCTGCTGTAGCAAGAGTCTACAAAAAGCATTAAAGGGGAGGATACCAGCCATATGTGGTACAAACAGTGTTATTTAGTTGGATTAATTAAGTCCCTCTTGTTTAAAAGTGTCCAAAATGTATCCCGAAATCTTTAAAATTACAGTCTAACCAAAATTGTCCTTTTAAATGTTAAAAATACACTATTTAGTGTAAAAATGTCATGTTCAGGATAGTTTCCACAAGATGGCAGCATAACTTTAAGAAATTATACCCTTGGAGGAAGGGCTGGCAGAACCTGACTAGTGGCAACTCTAGTCCGTCACACTGATTTTCCTTCCTGTGCAGTTGCTGTAATGATAATGATCTCAAAACCTTAAGGTTTTTAAAGGATTTGGGGTTCCCCCCCCCCCCCGGGGGGGGGGAGAAAGTATGATTCTCTTACATGGTGCTAACTGTAACTATATCTTTCTTAAAATAAAGTTTCAATTAAATGAAACATTCAGGGGAAAGAATGGAAGATTTAAATTTTGTAGAAGGCCAAGAAAGCTTTCAGACAATAGTGCCCCGTTGGACGTAGTAGAAGTTCTGTGTTGCTGATGGGACAGACCTGCTATAGTACACATTGAAATTCACTTACTTGGATAAATGTTCATGGACTGTGGTTTATACTGCTGTGTACAGCTTACTGTAGACAGTACCCTGTTATGTAATTTTTGCACCACTTAAAGCCTATGCTATGCTTCAGTTCTTTCTGGCTGGTTCCAGACTTCTACAGTCCTAAGGCCCTGTTTTTTGAATGCCCCATTTTGTTAATTGTATTGACTCACTACGTGTAATCTGTCTTAAGGCCCTGTGAAAAAGGCAGACTTAAATAAACATAAATAAATAAAATCAGTAAGTGAGCAGATTTTACTGTTTAAATCATTTAAGTGCACTGGGAAGACTGGATATCATTTGAACATCAACACCTGATGCAGGGGTCGTTTCGTAGAAAAAGAGCTAGGGAAACTCATTAGCATAACTCATTAGCATATGCCACACCCCCTGACATCACCAGAAGTGTGTCATAAGGCCACACCCCCTGACATCACCAGAAGTGTGTCATAAGGCCACACCCCCTGACATCACCAGAAGTGTGTCATA